TGACTTTCCCCCTGAAAAGACAACAAAAACAATTTTTAAATTTTTTAATTTTTAAAAATTTTTTGAATAAATTTTTGACAACCCTTTTTTGATTGTGTCCTTCATTTGCTGCCCGCACCACATCCAGGGACACAAAATATATCTATTAACAGATATAAAACATAAACTTTTTAAATAAACAAAAATAAAATTTCTTGAATAATTGTTTCAAAAATATAATGTGTATAATATCACAAAAACTTTATATTAATTGCTTAACAACCCATAAAACAATTAAATTTGACAAATAATTTACTGTATAATGGTTTTTTAACATAGGGGCAGTTTCTTCACTGTTGACCGTATAAACACATGTCTTAAATATCACATATAAAGGCATTAAAAATACCATTTTGCTGAACATATGGTTTCATTTATAGTTTAAATTTCACAGTATTGTATATAATGTATTAATTGCCAAAACTTAAAGCAATTAAACGGATTATTACTTTGAATGTTTTAAACACAAACTTAAAAATATCACATAAACGACACACAAAAAACACATAAAAGTAAAATCTAAAAGTAATTTAAGATAAAGTGGGATCAACTCAATTGATTCCGAGTCTATCTGGTCGTCTCTTAATTCGTTTAATCGGCGACTTAAGATTCATAAATCTCGTTCACAATCTCGTAATATAGTAACATAATCTCGACTTACAGAATAATATAGAAGATAAAGAAATGTTTGTTAAGATTACAAAATCATATTAAATCATTATAAAAAGTTAAAAAGATTATTTTATTCAATAATGTTGTTAGTTGTCTTTATTCAGATAAGTGACTATTTGATTGTCCACAATATAATAATCCTTTAAAGTAATTTTTACGGGTAATTGCCTACAAATCCACTTTCTTACAGTTATATCCAAAGTATGTTTTTACACCTCCACCAATATATATAAAATCAAAACGAAATTATTTCATATATTATATATGAATTTGAATCAAAAAAAATTTAAAATAATATAATAAAAAATAGTTGAATGATAGATATTATAAATTACTTATTTTTTTATACACTTGTAATATGATATCTAAAAATTCTCAAAACTTTTAATGTGTTTTTCATGACTTAACTGCACTTACACTTTTACACTTACACAATTATGAATGTATGAAATATATAGAAAAATCTAATAATTATATTAAAATATTCATTATAAAAGTTTTCGGCCCCTTTCATATATTTTATTAATGTTAATTTAGTACAATTATGTATTTTAAACTAAACAAAAAATATAAATTTTTATCTAATACGTACACTACTTTTCGAACGAAAACATAGAGTTGCTTAAGTTAACTTATGAAGCCTACACAAGATGTTAGATAGATAAAAATAAATATTTAATTCATGTTATCGTCAATTAGACACCAGATGTCTACACAACACACATATGACTTTAGAATAAGTGGAACAGACAAATATGGAAATAGACATATAAAAAATAATCATCAGAAAAAACATTAAAATTTAAACTGCAATTCAACGCAAAACAAAAGCCATAAAAAGATGTCCCAAGAGTTAGCAGTCATTGTTTGTAAAAGCATTGACAGAAGCAGTGGACTGCGAGACGAAGATGAAAATCTGGTTTTTGTGAAAAAATCCCGAAATGGCAGCCGTCGGTGGAAATGGTGGGAACGGTGGCGGTAATCAGGACCCGACTGATCCGCACCGTCCGCGAGAACGCTTGGACAGGTACCACCAGGTCATGGCCAGCCCAGGAGTCAACGCGAACTTCAGTAAGTTTACAGCTTACAGGAACTCACTAACTTTCGTCGTCAACAGGCGGAAGTGGATTTCCAGATCTAGGTACACATAATATATTGTCTAACTATAAATTATTGCGTTTAACACAATAAATAATTTTACATTTCAACTGTAAAGTTTTGCTAACTAATTAAATTAAATATGGATCGATACAATCCTCGAAAAGATCCTTCGGCCGACCGGGCAAAAACCTAAACCACTAGAAAAACGTGTATCGGAGTCTGAACTCACTACCAGAAGACATAGTACACGGAATAGAAGACAGACCACACATTACGACATAATGGACGCCAATAACAGTACACAAACTTAATAATAAGTCGTTTTTAAACTTTAATAAAGTATTGACATTATTTCTTTTTTATTGCTTCGTGGATTAGTTATCAATTTTACAAGTTTATGATGTCTATGAGTGGGGTCTTTTTGGGCGATAATTAAGTTTTATTTGTGTGAAGTTTTTTTTTGAGGAAAAACTGACAAATCAGAGGTCAGATGATTGTGTGACACAACACGTGTCAGCAATTAATAGTCATATGTGAAAACCCTTGGGTTTTATATTTATTTTTTTTGTTTTGTGGGGAAAACTATACGTATCTTATAATATAATCATCGCAGTGTAAATAAAGTGTTTATTACAAACAATCGGTGAAAACATATTTGTTAAACATTGATAGTGTGGTCCTATCATTGTAACTTCCGATGGTTTATAGACAGCACTACCAGCCGACATACAGTACCGAGGAGTGAGACATCATCACTGCCGAAGCCGAGAGACGCGGAGTAAATGAATGGGCTCTCAATACCGCATCTAACTCGTCCATGAAATTTTTAAAATATATTTTTAACTGTCATCATATTGTCTGTTAATTATTTCGTGTTTGTTTTTATCTATTAACTAACAGTAGAGATCATTTTTTTTTAAAAATTAGGGTGATTCTGGTGGTCCACTAATCCAGTATATCAACAATGTAGTATATCAATATCTGGTGTGACTTATGTCTAGATATATATTTTCTTTTAAATTTTAACAAATCGGTAATATACTTAAGCATTAGTAAGTAGGTTTAGATTATAGGTAATCATTGTACATTTTCACATTTCAAATCTAATCTAATCTAATTAAATAATTATTTATATAATGGTTATCGTTTATTTACGTTGAATCGTTGAATAGTTGAATCGATTATTTTAATTATGATCCCCTAATTAATTTAAAGTCCTTGTTTTGATTGGCATTCATGCCAATAAATTAAAAATATAAATAAATATTTTACACCTCCACCAATTCTAAATATTTGTAAAAACAATTATATATATCATTATTAAAAATATATGAAACAAAAATTCTTAAGAATGATTATGATATTTATGATTACAATTTCTATGATGTTTAATGTTTATTGTCAAGGAAAATTTTAATTATTTAATTCTGTTAATAAATGTAAATGAAATTAATATATTTAGCAATACTTTAAGAATAAGAATAATTAAAAAATGAATTAGAATATATTATCAATATTTAATTTATTTAATTTTAAAGAAAAAAGTGAGCATCAGTTTAAATAAATTAGTAGCAAGTGATTTAAAACAAAATATATCTCTGGCCATAAGTCACACCAGATGTTGATATACTACACTGTTGACATAATGTATTAGTGGACCACCAGAATCATCCTAAATTTTTAAAAATAAACCTTATATATTTAATAGTCAAACTATTATTAATAAATTAATTTTTAAATAGTCTAATTGTATATAAATATTGTTTAAAAAAGGACACACTCGGGAGGAAGGACACACACACACACCAGAATCGGGAGGAAGGACACACACTCACACCAGGATACACACACTTCAGAAGCCAATCAATAGTTATTATTTTATGTTGTAGCATGCTAGAAATTTCAGAAACCAACTGATAATTATGTATGTATTTTATTAGACCGTTACAATATTTTTAATAATAATATATATATATATTTGTTTTTACAAAAAGTTGGTGGAGGTGTAAAATATTTACAATAAATTATTAAATATAAAATATAATTGAAAATTGTAAATTCATTATTGTGCACTACTTATTGTTATTGTTTTCGGCCTTTATTTTTTTAAGATTATTTAGAACTTGTTAAATGTTGTATTTGAAACAGTATGGCAATACAGAATGCAAAAATATTATACAATTCAGAATTCATATTTTCAATATGAGACCGACGATACCAAAAAAAGTGACAACTAAAGAGAGACAAAAAGAGTGTCTAGAGACTAGCTAACTCTATTGGTGGGTAAGTTGAGAGGGGCCTAAAAGCTAAAAGCCTAACAATTATTATTTACTATATTTAAATATTATTATTGAATTTTTATAGATATTATTCAGTTCAACAATTTGTCCAACAGTTTATCCAACAGTTTGTCCAACAGTTTGTCCAACAGTTTGTTGGCAAAAGTAGCCAAAGTATCAAAAACCCATACCAAAGATGGCCGTGAATATCGAGACACCATTAGTACTCAGCGATAAATCTCGAAACAATGATCAAATTTGCAAGACAGGCTTGAATAATGATGACCATATACGCAAACTTAATAATAACCTAACCTAACACTGCCTTTAGTGTTACACCTCTCAAGTCGACTAGGCCTAACCTTCGAAATAACTCATCGAACTTAAAACGTTTAACACTTATTGTGGTTCATTACACCTCTTAAATGTGACGATAATACAAGTCTAGTAAATAAACAGTTATCAGTAGAACAAGAGCAGTGGTTAGGAATCAGTGTATAAATTAGTTAACAACTCCTATTAAGTGATATACAAACATACATTAATTACAATTGTACTCAATTATTACTTGTCATAAATAAAATTATTTAATAAATAAAAAAAAACATGGGTGCGGGCACGGAACAACTACTACACTGTTGGTGTTGATATTGACGGTGGCCGACAACACGAGATGCCCTAACATCACTCACACAAACAAACAAAGTGGTATATATTTAATTTCATTTTACATGCTAAAATATGGCAAATTTCTTCGAATTTTTAAAATAATAATCAAGCAATAAATCGTGACTTTTGTGAGATCGTAAATCTAGACTGATGAACCCGTCACCATGGATACTGGAGAAAAAGCAAGTGCCAGTCGATTGCGTTTTAGTAGACATGGAACTATTCTAAGTATTATAAAATCTAATTTAAGAATTGGAGCGATTGAAGAAGTAACATAAATATAGAGCTGATCAGCGTGATACTCAGACGTTGTTTCTGGAAGAACTGTAAGCACTGGTAGACATGACGTCTGTGGAAAGTTAGACAGTATTGAAAGTATTAAAACAAAACCCTTCGACACTCTATACATTGGATCTTAAAATGAAAAGTAATAATTATTATTTTTAATGTTTTTTTTATTTTAATTATTTTATATTTTTAGATGTCTGCAATGTAAGATTTACTTCGGTAGACAAAAATCGGTTCAAACTAAAAACGAGTTTTGATATTTATTTATTTGAATTTAATTTAAAGTCTTGTTTTGACACCTGCCGATGATAGCGGCAACCATCTACTGGTCATGACTATCGTTCGATACCATTGTTGGGTTGGTGTATACATATCAAACCCCTAGTGATAAACAAGCAGCAAAAATATCTCATCAATTGGTCAGACAGTCACAGCCGAAAAAGTATTTAAGAAAAAGTGTCCATTAAATAATTTATAATTAAAAAAATACTAAAAAATATTTATAATTATTTTTAAAAAATAAATTATGTAAATAGTTATTAATTCTAATTAATTTATTTAAAAATATTTCTTTTTTCAATTAGAGTTAATTAAATAAATAATTTATTAAAAAAAATAATAATATAATATATCTATTATCTAGAGATATATAACTAGTAATTAATTGTAAATTAATAATTTTATTTCAACATGAAATAATAATTTAATTCACAACTATATTGTTATTAAATTTAATTATTTTTTTTAAGTTAGAAAAAAGTTTATAGATACAATTAAATATATTTTTATTTTATTTTTATTAATTATTAATCTTTATTATTAACAATAATAATTATTATAATAATAAATAATATTTTTTATATAATTTAATTATAGAAAATTTGATCATCATAAAATAAATATATATTATTGTCATAAATATGTAAAATTTTTTACATTTAATAGATTAATCAATGTTTATTTTATTCAAACAATAACAATTTAATAATATTATTTATTATTAAAAAAATTAAATTAATTTTAAACATATTTATAATAAATAAAATATCTATATATTAATATATCTATAATATATTTAATTTTATTAAATCATAAATTATTAGTATTATTATTAATTTCTATATTAATCTCATTATTATTATTACAATTTTTATTACTACTACCACTACTACCACTACCACTAGCTTTACTTAAACTATTATTTAAACTATTTGTATGACTATTACTACTATTAGTACTATTTTTCTGATCAAACAATTCATCCAATTCTGGCCGATCGGTAAACAAGTCGATCCAAATCATTACGCAAATCGGTATCAATATTAGTCCCGAAATCAATTGATAGACAATACCCGGATAGTCATCCATTGTATAGCGAAACATATACGTGAGGGCTGTCGTCGATATTACCGGTGCTATCGTATCCAATGCCTGCATAAAACTAAGTACTTTACCGATTTCATGGCGGCCAACAATTTTGGTCAAATGTGATCGGCAACCGATGGATGCTATGCCGCTAATAGCCGATACTGGCATTGCTACATAATATGCTAGATAAATATTTTTTTAGAAAAAAAATAAAATTAATAATTATATATTAATTTTAAATAATAATTTTTTTTTTAAAAAATTGTATAATTATTTATAATAATATATTTTTAATAGAAATTAATATTATATATTTATCAATTTTAATTAATAATTTTAATTTTTAGTATTATAATTTATAATAATATTATTAACATAAATTAAATCATAATAAATTATGTAAAAAATTTGTAATATTATTTAAAGTATAGTATTATATAATTATATTTAGTTTTTACTATTTAATAATATTAATAGCTATTAATTATTTATATTATAGATTTAGAAATATATTTTTTAAAATACTAAATATTATTTTTGTATTGAACTAAATTAGTTAATAAATTTAAGTAGTTTTACAACAAAAAAATATATTTTCTAATTATTTAATTAATAATAATTAAAATAAATCTTTTATATTATGTTAGAAATTAAACAAACTTAACAATTAAATAAAAAAAAAATTTGATTTCTATGCAGTATAAATACAATTTTTAAAAAAAAATTATAATAAAAATTATTAATTAAATATTTAATTAACAAAAAAAAATAATTAAAACACGCATACCTATTGGCATAATAAATGTACCCTTGATCATATTATAGGCAAAATAGGAACAATAGCCAATCAAGGCTAACGGTATGTCCGATATTTTCAGCACTTTTATCATAAACGGTACAATCGATAGGGTGGCCAATGTTTTGATAATCATATTAATTGATGTTATATAAGCATTATAGTCGGGTCCCCATAGATAGGCTTTTTCGACAAATTGTAAGTTCAACGATACGGTACCTAATTTTTTTAGTAAAAAATAAAATTATTATTAATATTTAAATAATTTTTTAAAAAAATTTTTTTTTGAAATACCTTGAAATGTCATAAAATAGATGATTAGTGACAAAAATATTAGAAACACTTGTAGTCGACCATTGTTTGGACGTTTTTTAATACAGGTTCGTACCATTAGTTTGACATTTTCAAAATTAAACAATAATCTTAGTGGATGTATCTTTTATTTTTTTTAGAAGAAAAATAAAATAAAAATTTATAAATAATTTTAAACAATAAAATAATATTAAATTTTATTATAATAATTTATTACTAAAACTAAACTGTAAACTAATAGATAAAAATTTTATTTAATTTTAATAATAAAATATTTCTATATTATAATAGCTTATATTAAATAAGTCTTTTTTTTAAAAAAAAATATTTTATTAATTTAAATTTTTACTAGTTTATTAAAAAATTAATTAATTAAAAAATATAATTTAACTAAAAATAAATAATAAAGACATACCTGTTTGTCTTCGACACTCATATCGGATCTAAGTTTAATATGTTGATAATTATGAGGCTCAGGGCGTTTTTTATTAGGACTGTCCCCTACCATTGAATCTGTATTATTATTATTATTATTATTATTATTATTATTATTATTTTGTTGTTGTTTATTGTCTAATTGTTTTCTCAATTGTTGTATTTTATATTCAATGTGTGCCTCCTGTTTGCGGGCAACCGACTCATCCACCATAAACACTATCCATAGGAGGGCTAACAACTCTAGACCGGCAGCTATGATAAAACATAGGGCCGTATTCCTGAGTTCACCCATTTGGCTGAACAATGGTTTCTGTACGAGTATATAACCACCCAATGATGTACCGATTGGCGATGCTAGTAATAATAATAATTAAATAAATTAATAAATATTTATATGATTTAGTTTTTTGTTGTTGATATACTATGTATGTAAAAATAAAAATAAAGTTATCAAAAAAATTGTTTGACTTTTTAAAAAAAATAAAAATTAATTATTTAATTATTATTTGAGTCTTAGACTAGATTTTTAGTAATTATTATTAAATGTTATTATTATTGTAGTAAATATTTAATATATGACTTAGTTTTTTTTCATATACTATGTATGTAAAAATAAAATTTAATTTTTTTTAAATATAAATAATTTTATCAAAGAAAAAATATTGTTTGCCTATTTTTAAAAATAAATAATTATTAAATTTAATTGAGTCTTAGTTAATAGATTTTTAGTAATTAATTTAATTATTATTATTATTATTGTAGTAAATATATGATTTAGTATTTTTTCATATACTTTGTATGTAAAAATAAAATTTAATTTTAAAAAAATATATAAATAGTTATAAAAATATTTTTCCTTTTGTAAAAAAAATAAATTATTCAATTAAATTGAGTCTTAGTTAATAGATTTTTAGTAATTAATTTAATTATTATTAGTTGTTATATATATATATAGATAATACTTATTTTATCAGTTTTTTAAACAATTAAGTTTTTTATAATGTTTTATATAATTTATTATAATTTATTAATTTTATGATTATTTTTAAATTTATTAAACAATTATAATTACCTATAAATATAACCATTTCATAGATCATAAAACGTATGGCCATTAGTTTTGGCGGTGTTGTGGATGTCATATAGTGAGTGATGGCTATACGTGAGGCCAGATTGCCGCCCATCAGTGCCGTCGGTATATAAGTCAATAGGTTATAGTAAACACCTGTTTTAATGGCAAACAAAAAATTATAAATAAAAAATTATTTTTTAAATAATATTCATTTAATATTTAGTTTTCTTTTACTTAGTTTAAAATTAAGCGACAAAAATATGGTTAGGATATTGTCTAACATAGCAGTGGCCACACTGACAAACATTAGTATTTTACGGCCCCTAATATATCGGTCAATCCATGCGCCGACAAACAGCGCCCATAACAGTGCCAACGGTGTGTTTATATAGGTTTCATAGGTTGCTATATAAATATATATAATATATATTAATTTATTATGTTTAGTACAATATTTAAAAAAAAATATTTCTATGAAATTATTTAATAACTAAATGTTTTTTTAAAAAAAATTAATAATAATAAAAGTTAAATAAAAAATTTTGTTGAAAAAATATTATACTATAATTATTAATAAAACTGTAATAAAAAACATATATTATTATTATTATTATTTAATTAATAGCTATTGCTTATAAATAGTATGAAACATATTATTTCATAAATTATTTTAAATTTATAATTATATTATTTATTTGTTTTTTATATAAAACAATTAACTATTATTTTACTAAATAAAAAAAAACTAAATATAATAAATATTAATTATTTGTATACAAAATGAAAAACAATATTTATTTACAACAATTCTACTTAAATAGTTTATTAATATTTTTTTAAAAAAATGTTTAAAAAATAAGACAATATTAATATATATAATTTTATTTTTATATTTAGTTATAATATTTTATCTTTTGTTTAACTAATTATTGTTATTTTTTTAAAAAAATATTAATAAATAGTTATTAAACATAAACTATAAACATTGTACAGTATATGTAACTGTAAAATAAAATAAAATTTTATTATATTATATTTAGAAAATAGCATTTTAATCAAGAAATAGATAAAATTAGCAGAAAAGTTATTTTTATTAAATTATATATTTAAAAAAGAGATTAGTTTATAAATCTAAAAAAATATAATTTAATAATTAAAAAATATTTACTATTGTAGTAATTTTTTTTAATAAATCTTAATTAATCTTGTTACAAATACAATATATTTTTTGGTTTAAAATTAATTAATTTTTTAGATAATTGTATGTTTTAAAAAGTTGTTTTAAAAAAATTATTTTCATAATAAATAAATTATGATTATATTGAAAATATGCTACATTTTATATTAGCTAAAATAATTTAGAGACAATAACATAGATTAATATAGATATCAATATATATATATATATATATATATATATTAAAATACATTTAATTAATATATAAATAAATAATAATTTTATATATATTGTTATATATATATTTATTAAGCATATATAAAGTATTATAAATTACCATGTACAATATTACTAATATTAATACAATTATTATTATTAATATAATTACTACTATTATTATTATAATTATTACAATTATTATTATAATTATTATTATAATCATTACTATTATTATTATAATTAGTACTATTATTATTATAATTAGTACTATTACTATTATAATTAGTACTATTACTATTATTATTATTTAAAAATAATTAAAAATAAAAATAATTACCAAATTGTGCAGCATCGGCTAGTATTAAACTTTTATAATCATGTTGAGCACCGGTAGTATCATGGGTTGGCAGATCGTAACAGTACTGGGCTGTCTGATTATACCATAGATAGCATATTTTGTCCTGGATCAATTGTGATTTGGGTGTATTTTTTAGGGATACTTGTAAAAACGACATAAACAGATAGGGTTCAACACGTAACAGTTTGATAAATCTTAAAATTTTCAATAATCTACCCGGCCTATTAGGCCTATCTAGATAGTTATGATTTTCATCATCATCATCATCATTATTATCATTATTAATTTTAAATTTAACATTATTATTATTATTGTTGATTTTATCATCATTATCATTTTGAGTAATATTATCTGACATTTTTATTTATAACATTTACACAAAAAAAATTTAAAAATATATTATATCAACAAATATATTAAAAATATATTTTACTAATAAATAAAAAAAATTTAATAAATATATAATATAAAATAAATTATTATTATTAATAATTAATATACAGTTACATAATTTAAACTAAACTTTAATACTAATATTATTTTAAAACATAACATTTTGTCAATATTTTAATATTAAAGCAATGATTTTTTTTATATAAATATATTATAGTATTTATTTTGTTGCTATTTATATAATAACATATATTAATATATATATATATAGCAATGTTTAACAAAACTATTATATCATCACATGTTTAAATACCTGTAATAGTATTTTTGTTTAATTAAATTTATATTATAAACATATTACTGTACAAATAGTGCACTCAAAATTAATTTCAAATTATTTATCAATTAATATTAGGATTTATTTTGTTTTTGTCTATAAAAAACAAAAATTAGATATAAAGTTTAGGTTATTAATTGAATGAGATTAAATTTTTTATATATAAATTTATATAATATTTAACTAATAAATTAATAGATAACATAACTTTATAAATGATTTCTACTATGTTATCAATTTTTTTATATTATAAATATTTATTTAATATATTAATTTTTTTGGTGATAGCTATCAATTTTAATAGTAATTGTTTATACAATATATATATAGTTTTATTTTTCTGATTTCAATTACTAGTATTTAATTTTTTTTTAAACTAAAATATTACTAATGTATTAATAACTTATCGAAAACTAATTATTTATTTATTTATTGCATTAAATTTATGATAAATATTAATTAATTAATTAATTAATTAATTAATTAATTATTATTATTATTTTAAAAAATGCAAATATTAAACTGTAATTTAAATAATTTAATACTAAAAAAATTTAATTTGTTTGTGAGTTTAACAATTGATTTTATTAAAAATAAATTAATAGATTTTTAAAATCAAAAAATAAAATTATAAATTACAAAAAAAGATAAATAAATTTTTTGTTTAGTAATGTAATTGATATAATGTTTTTATCTAGTTATTTCATCTACTAATCGTGATATTAGTTTTAATTAATTAATTAATTAATTTTATCAACAAAAAAATATATATATAACTAAACTATGCTAGGTATTTAATCCATTTAATATATTAATCTATATATATATATCTACTATTTATATCTACTATTAGTAGGAGATCTCTCTATATATATTATTTAATATATTAAACACTATATTATTATAGTTTTTATTTTTTGCACCAATCTATTTGTACTATTAGTATCATTATAAACAAATTAAAGTATTAATAAAAAAATAATTAATAATAATTATAATAATAACAATTTAGACAAGTTTATATGTACCGCAATATGGTTTTATTGTATATTAATTTATATATATAGATAATTATGCAATATGACATAGATGCAATAGACATTTTTTAAATAAATACCCATGACCATTTAATACGTATTTAATAATTTTAATCTATTATTTATCTTTATATATATATTTTTTTATTTAATTAAGCTTTATATACACATAAAAAATCAGCTTAATTATTTTTTTCATCAAAAAAAATATAAGTCATATGACAATGCCAATTATTTATTTTTTTTAATTTTTAAAAAAAAATAATTTATATACATATAAGGTTATTATAATATATTATAAATTTTTAGGGTTAATGAAAAATTAAATTAATAATAAAATAATATTATACAGTATATTGATTGACATATAGAGAGTGAAAATATTTATATATTTTTTAAAAACCCAAATAAAAAAAATTATTATGAAATACAGTAATACAACATAAAAAATCAAAAGTAAAAAAAATTATTAATAATAATAACAAAATAAAAGTTTGTTAACATTTTTCAAAGTTAGCTACACTATTAAAAAAAACTTATAATAATAATAATAATATTAATATTACTAATACTTTAGTATATAACCTAAGATCTCAATACTAGATATCATTATTATTATTATTATTAAAATAAAAAAAAGTGTTAGCATTATTTAGAGGTCAGTTATGCCAATCTAACAGTGCAATTGCATCAGCCGTTTAGTTAGTTTTTTTTCAATGGTTAACCTTAAATATATATACAGTATATATTAAAAAACCATTATATTATTAATAATTATTATTACCCCCAAAATAAAAAGGTGGTACACGTGCTCATCACGAGCAGCACATGTATAGACAGTTTGAATAAAATATTTATTACTATTAATTAAATTATTGAAATATTTATTTTTTAATAACAAACACATGATCTCTCTCTCTCTCTCTCTCTCTCTTTGACTAAATTTTTTTATATGTCATAAGCTTTTTGTTATAAAAAATAAAAATATTGTAAATATTTTGATTTTTTTTGTGTTCGTATACTTAATTAAAATTAATTTCGAAAAAAATTATTTATACATAATTTTTTTTTAAAAAAAACTATATAATAGTTATTAATAAACAATTTAAAAATTTGGTAAACATTTAATTAATTTTTGTCTATTTGTCTATTATTTTTTTTTGAATATTATATAATATATATTAACAACTATTATAATAAGTTTATCAACAATAATAAAAAATAAATATAAATAAAAATAACCTTGTCAATAAAAGCTTAATTTATTTTTTGAACTATAACTGTAAATATTATAAAATTAATAGATAAATAAATTAATAAATATATATATAAAATATTAAGTTTATAGACAATCATAACAAATATAGTTTTAAAAAATGCTTATGTAATATATATTTATTTTTGCAAAAATAAAAATTATTTATTCAAAAAATGTGTTAATAATATAAATTATTTTTTTTATTGATTTGATTTGAATACCAAAAAAAGTAATAATAATTAAAATTATAGATTCATCTAATTATCTAAAAATCTATATATTAATAAATATATATATATATATATATAAAATAAATCTTAATTTAATATTACCTTGACCAATATTTGATTTTCTAAATAAATTAATTTATATGAACTACCAGACACAACAATCAGACACACACACACTCACACACATACACACATACATACACACATACATACACACATACATACAACCATACATACACACATACACACACACACACATTTAGCTTAGTTAGTTTATACTACATGTTTATATTTATAGAGGGGGTAATGAAAGAGTTAACACACCCATAATAGGCTTATCATGTTTTTAGTGTGTGTGTGTGTGTGTGTGTGTGTGTGTGTGTGTGTGTGTGTGTGTGTGTGTGTGTGTGTGTGTGTGTGTGTGTGTGTGTGTGTGTGTGTGTGTGTGTGTGTGTGTGTGTGTGTGTGTGTGTGTGTGTGTGTGTGTGTGTCTATACTAACTATGTTATACTATAGATAATTGATTAGTATATGTATATATATACTTAAAACTTATACATATAATAGTTATATAGAAATATTTAAATTTTCTATAAAATACACTAATTTTTATTATATTTTATTTTACTTCAGGAAAAATAAAAGTGACCGTCAAAAAAAAATTGAATACCCGTCCCTTTTTTAAAAAAATAAAACCAGCTACCTGTCCCTCTATACAGTATATATATATATATAATACACAATACAATATATATATAACAAAAATTTTTTTGTGAGTATAAAAACTCGACAAAAATCTTTTTTTAATAATCATAAATACAATTTTGAAAAAATTAATAATAATTTTTATTATTAAATAAAAAATTATTTAGTTTTTAAATATTTTGATTGTGTTTATACACTAGTAATACAAAAAACAATGAAATCAATAGTTGTAAGTATAGACTAAATTAATTATTTTTTTTTATATATGTATAATAAAAAATAACATTTTTATATATATCTAAATAATTTTTTTTGTAATTATTTTTTTACTTTTAAAAAATAATAGGCAGTCCTCTCATGCCTGTCGTTGGTCAGCGCCGGCGGTATCGCTCAGTACAGTATCCAAGACATACAACCCGACCGATCCATTAGTATCAATCGCGGCCTGTCGTTGGGCGCACCGTTAGCCCTGTCTCAGCCGCAACTGTTGTCCACTGGATCGCTGTTATCCTCCAGAGGCCAACTCATCGGCAGCCAACTGATCGGTAGTCAACTGATCGGTAGCCAACTTATCGGCGGCGAACCAACACTACTGTCTAGCGGTTCATTGTTGTCCACCAAAGGCCAACTCATTGGCGAACCCGCACTACTGTCCACTGGCGGTTCATTGTTGACCACCAGAGGCCAACTGATCGGCAGTCAACTGATCGGTAGCCAACTTATCGGCGGCGAACCCACTCTATTGTCCAGCGGTTCATTGTTGGCCACCAAAGGTCAACTCATTGGCGAACCCGCACTACTGTCCACCCGTGGCCTGGCCTTAGCCGAACCGACCCTAATCAGACAGTCGGCACCGATTACCACTATTATCCGCCAATCGCAGCCAACAATCATTACCAAGACTTTGTTGACCGCCGCCCAACCCCAACAATTGTTGGTCGCACCCCAACCGCAACTGTTGACCAGTAGATTGTTGGCCTCATCCGAGCCGACACTTATCCGATCGTCCGGCCAGTTGTTGACCACTACCAAAGGTTTGACACTCGGCGGCGCCAGTCTTCTACAGCCAACCCTATTGAGCTCACCGTTGGGTTTGACTACCAAATCACTGGGTTTGTCACCATTGGGTTTGGGTTTGCTTAAAAAATAAGTTTGACCATGCTCAAATTTTTTCAACTACACAAAAATGATCTAGGA